GAAAATACGTTCGTCGGTTCCAAGAATAACCACAAGTGATGTCACACATAATGTCATGCGAAGGCGATGGTCACCCTCATGAAGGGAGGGGTGAGCCCGATCGCTAACTCAAGAAGGTCGGCATTGGGAGCCGATATACAATGATCATAATGTCGCTGAGCAGTCGGTCCTGATAATGGAGATGACAATAGTGTCCGGTCAGGCCGATTTATCCGAGCAACGGCTCTCATCCAACGCAGCGCGGGGATGAAACCGGTCTTCAAAAGATAAATATGTCGTGCCGAGAGGCCGAACATAACATGATAGTGTCGGCAGTGAGAGGCCGACCTGAAAGAATCAAACAACGGTCTTCGTCCGCGAGGTAGCGGGGACGAGGCCGGTCTTCGAAAGATAGGCACGCCGAGCCGAGAGGCCGGTCGTGGTATAATGGTGTCGGCAATGAGCGGCCGATCTGAGAAAATCAAGCAACGGTCCTCGTCCGCGAGGGCGGGGGCGAGGCCGGTCTTCAAAAGATAGGCACGCCGAGCCGAGAGGCCGGTCGTAGTATGATGATGTCGGTGATGAGATGCCGAACATGATGTGGCAGTGTCGGCAATGAGGGGCCGACCTGCAATCCAGCAACGGCTCTCATCCGCGCAGTGCGGGGATGAGGCCGGTCTTCAAATATGGAAAGCACGCCGTGCCGAGAGGCCGGTCGTGATATAGTGTTGTCGGCAATGAGAGGCCGATCTGAGAAAACAAGCAACGACCGTCATCCGCGAGGAGCGGGGATGAAACCGGTCTTCAAATATGGAAAGCACGCCGAGCCGGGAGGCCGGTCGTGATTTAATGGTGTCGGCAATGAGAGGCCGACCTGAAATCAAGCAACGGTCCTCATCCACGCATCGCGGGGATGAGTCCGGTCTTCAAATAAGATAATCATGCCGTGCCGAGAGGCCGGTCATGATGTAATGATGTCGGCAATGAGAGGCCGATCTGAAATCAAGCAACGGTCCTCGACCGCGCAGCGCGGGGACGAGGCCGGTCTTCAAATAAGATAATCATGTCGTGTCGAGGGGCCGGTCATGATGTAATGATGTCGGCAATGAGAGGCCGATCTGAAATCAAGCAACGGTCCTCGACCGCGCAGCGCGGGGACGAGGCCGGTCTTCAAATAAGATAATCATGTCGTGCCGAGGGGCCGGTCATGATGTAATGATGGCGTCAGACGGCCCTCGGCCGTGACGATCTCTTCTAGGCCCTCGGCCGCTGAATGACGGGTGATCGTCTCACGGTTCTCTGTCATGGCATTCGCCTCTAGACCCTCGGCCTCTAGGTGTTCTTCCTAGGCCATCGGTCTCTGGGGTGGAGATGCTCGTCCCACAGTTCTCAACCGTGGTGGTCTCCTCTAGGCCCTCGGCCTCTGGGTGGAGATGCTCGTCTCTCGGCTCTCAGCCGTGATGGTCTCCTCTTTAGCTGGCCCTGAACGTCCTTGAGACTCAGGCCGAGCGTCTTTTAATCATTTCGCTCGAGCGCGTCGAGCGGCTTCATCTGCGCAATAAGCATGGTAACGGGCCGCACGGCCCGACAATATGTATACACACATAACCATCTGCATGGCTTTCTCTTTAACATCCACGATTACCGGCCTATAGGCCATCGTGACCCTCGGCCCGGCTCATCGTGCGGGGTTAATGGACGTAGCAGCTCGCGGCGGGGCCAATTAGCAGCCCGCCGAATCGTCACATAGATATATTCATCGGTCTGTGAGTTCTCAAACTCAGACCCAAGTTGGTCGCACCGCCCTCGGAAACACGAGGCCGAGCGCTTCGGTGCCCTCGGGCCCCACAGGCCGCGTTTGGCACAGTCACTTCGCCTAGTGGCGCAAATTACATTGGGGTATGATCGTCGATCGGGCACGTAGTGCCATGCGGACTAATGCGCAACCCTCAAATTAAAATGCGTCGTCGGGGCGTCGCCCTTCTGGAGACGCTCGGATCACTTAATCAAAGCTGATCGAGAGTGGGCTAAAGGCCCCACAAACAATTAAACATTTAATAAAATGTTGGCCGAACTAACTATCACTAGAGCTTCGCTCCGCATCATTTAATTCGGGACATTTTTATCCCTAATAAATAATAGTGATGTACGGGTAGTAATAATAGTATTATCCTACCAAAGGCCATTCCGGTATGCTCCGCCCGCTAATTTAAGCCGATCAGGAGCGGGCCAACGGGCCCACAACAACCAGTCATTAAATTTAAATGACGGTGAAAACTAAATATCACAAGAGCGTCGCCCGACATTATTTAATTTTGGGAGAATTTATTCCCCAAATAAATAATGGTGATAAAAGTTAACTAATAATAATGCTACTATAAACCAATTAAAGCGTAGGAATGGTTTTACTTAGCTTTGGGATAGATGTGCGGCCAGCTAAGAATCCAGAAAATAATTTTGATTCCTTTGACTTGGTCAATCTCTCCCAAGAGCCAAGGACTTCGATTGATTAGCCACTCCCAAGTCCAGAGTTGAGGCACGTCCAAGCCAATTCCCCAAGAAACTAGCCCCTTTTACTTGGCCTGGATTTCACGGACGTGGTGCGCTTAGGTCCAAGCAGCGATGTACGGAATATCCCCTAGAAAGGCCAGCCGCGTGTGCCGGCTACTTCCGCCGGTGAGGTCGGCGGTTGCATCAGAGCAAAAGGCGGCCGGGGAAGATGGTCTCCGATGGAAAGTCGGCAGAATTCCGAAATACACACCTTCCTGAGCTCCAAATCGCCATTAATGGCAGAGACTAAGGATGTGCTGGCTGGAAAAATCCCTGAGTTGGGCCGGCAGCGAGGTTGAGTTCCGAGCAACAACTGGCCAGACGGAGGAGTGACCACTACCTCTGATCTTCCGCCGGTGCGGTGAACTGCGGCGGGCTCAGGGAGCTTCTGGCGTTACACGACGGCGGTTCGGCAGGTGCTCCGGCGGCGGCGATGCTCTGGCGGCGGTAGATAAACAGAGAAAAATCCAGAGAGCCCAGATTTCCCATAATCATTTTCTTTCGTTTTTTGTTGTAGAAACTGAAGAACAACGTGAATCTTTTTGGACAGATTCCCACAGACGGCGCCAGTGTTGAGTTTAATCCAACACGATATAGTAAATATATGTATAAATGTGTATGAACAAGCTATTTTTACGTGGAAACCCGGAAAGGGAGAAAACCACGGGACTTTTTAGGCTAATGTCCAAGCCCTCTCTTTCTCATTAGGACTCTCGTCACCATTACATAGTACATTTTGAGCTCCCATTCATGGAGTATTATCTAATCTAGAGAGCTAAAGGAAGAAGGAAAAGATCCATAATATGGAGGCTAAGCTCCCTATTTATAGACAAAGGGAAAGGGTGCTCTCCACCCTAATGGGCCAAACGGGCCAATATCGGGCCTAATGGGCCGAAATGGGCCTAGCTGCTCGGGCTCCGTACTGGATAATGTCTTGGGCCCCTGAACAGTAATAGGCCGGGATAATATATCCCAACAATATTCAAGCATAATAGAGTTTACCCAGATATGAATGATACACAATTACACACATATATAAATTGTTGACTTGGATAAATAAATTTATACTGAAAGTGATAATAAACATCAAAGGGTACATACCATCACTCTCACCCATTTTAAATTCAACCTTTTCTTGGATTTTTGGGCATGATTAATCGTCACCCCTCTGAAAAAGAAACACAGTCATTATTAAATTCAACCGATCCAATATTTTCTCATAAAGTGTACATACAATCAAGATTTACATTTAAAGGGCCTATGTAACTTGACTGATTCACGATTTCCTCCAAATCCTTCGATGGAATTCCTCCCAAGGAATCTAGGTAGTAAATCGTTTCAGCCGCCATGTCGATGGCGACCAACACCCAATGATTCCTACATAACAATGAAACTATATGTAATTAGAAAACTAGAAAAGCACCATTGTTTGCAAAAATACAAGTCACTTGCAAAAGAGATTACTTACCCGATATTATAGGGGATTAAAGTCATTTGTCCAAGCAAGGAAATATCCAAAAGATCAGCTATGTATTGTGACCTCCTAGTAACAGCTTGGTGTGATGCCCTCTTTGGTATTGCTATGGCAGCAGAAGTACCAAACTGTACTGGCATGTCTCCTCCATCAGCCTCCATTTTCTCATGCAGGTACCTATTAAGTTATTACTCATCAAGTTGAATTAAGTTCATTCATTTTGATGTTTATAATAAGATACTCTTACCGCTTAATACTATAATACAATAATGATTTTAATGCAACTAAATGTAATATATACCAAACGGGAACTTATTACCTCGCCCAAATTTCAACAACTGAATTTGAAACCTGCTCAAAGTTGATAACACAGCGGCAAACCTCCTTGTTAAACATAGATTTTGTTTGGAATCCAAAAATTTCAGCATCTTGCTTGATGCTGTTCATCTCTCCTAAACAATTTTCCACTAAAATGCAAAACATCGTCATGTTAGCGCTTTGTTCTTTACTTTATTCAGCAACGGACCTGGTCATTCGTTGTACATTTAGCTGGGACTTAGCTTTCATTCCAGTCCTTCTCTCTTTCACAAATACCACTTCGCACCCCTGTTTTTGTTTTCCCTCCACTCGGTCATTCTCCATATTTGCTATTGACCGATCTTTTCCCTTTTCGGGCTCTGCAAGAGACTGATCTTCCTCTTCATTCATATCTTGTATGTAGCATAAAGTGTGCATGTAATTTACAAACATTACTATCGTATTTAATCAAAAAAACATATGCAACTGGACGTCTAACCATATCATGGGAGTGAGCATTGGGTTTTCCTAAAGTATCCTTGTTTATGTGCTGAGGGGAATTTCTGGGAACGCTTCCAAATAGCTTCTTCCGATGAGTAAATACTGGTTTTTCCACCTCTCCAACAGTCTATATCATAGAAGTTAACTATTTATTAATAACTATAGCTCATTAAACATTCACTTAAAGATGTAGTTGTACATACCTTCTGCATTCCACGACTCTCACCCTCGGGTTGTTCATTATTACCCTCCATTTTAGCATGTTTTGACTTGAACCTGGGAGATCTTCTGGGAGCACTGCAGGGTTCCTTCAAAGGACTAAGTATCGACTGCTCAAACTCTCCACCGGCCTTCAAATGATAAATACGTATTAATAATAAAAGTGTAAATAAGGTGCAAAATTATATACTAAAGTTATGTGTGTACCTTTCTTTTCTGAGATTTATTGGCATCGCTGCAACTACCAATTTCACTAAAAGCATTGGACACATGATCTTTCATTTCACTAAACTTCTGCAACATCATTGCATACCTTCTATCACATACGGCTTGTACTTTGTCCTTCTCGGTTTTGATTGCCTTTGGCGTGTGAAAGTATCGTGTTGGGGTAATGAAGTGCCCCAAACCCTGTACTCTACTGCCATTTGGTTTTTTCTGAAGAGCAACTGAGAGCACATCATTGTCTCCATGAGGCACAAATGATCCTTCCTTCACTTTATTCTTGAGCTCCTTCTACACAAACAAACATGTTACATCAGAGCATTACTAGAGCATTACCATATTGTGTCAAACACCATTTTTTTTTTGTTCTAAAAAGAGCATAAAAAGAGTCAATTAATTGACCTCAGTACACTGGGAATCATTACTAAAAGAAGCATGTTCATATTCATAAAATTATTACAACCCTTACTATTTCTTCTGCAACTTTCAAAACCTCAGGATCATATCCACCATCTTTTCTTTCTCTTCCCAAGAGCCATGTATCCGCTCGATCAATGTCGTTGACATTACTTCCAAGTTGTTCTTTCTTTCAGTTTTGAAAACAGAAAAGGTAAATCATCTAAATACTCATATACACAATCGAATAATTAAAAATGGAAGATTAGAACAAACCTTATGTATAAGTAACCCTCCATAACCTGTTGAACCTAATCGGTGATTATATATATTCTTCTTTCGATTTTCACTTGCTTTTTTGCTTTTTTCCTAAAAGCATTTAACAAAGTTATTACATATATTCACAAATGTTTCTACTTATATGAAATGCATTAGTAAGTTCTATTACCTGGAATTCATCTGTAAAGCACCACTTCACAAACATTCTCCATTCATCAGTACTAATGTGCTTATATTCTTCTGGAGGTAAGCTTAACTTCTCGGGCGCATCCATGTGTTGTGCAATGAATTCAGTGTACAAAGTGCACCTACAATTTTTATGTGCAGCTGACATTGTTTGGAGTATATGTTTCTCCGAATTAGTAGGCAACACAAACAGATCCTACATCCAAAAGAACATTAAATTATTGAAAGAATAATAAAAACATAAAGACTACAAATAAACTGAAAGAATTAAACACTTAAAGACTAAAAAAGTAATTGACAAAGTTAATAGCAGCACACATGCATACAATTGATCTACGATTTTCTGAGTTAAGCATAGAAAATTGTAAGAACTCATCAACTCCGTTTCTGTATTCTTCAGACAACCTGTTACCATCCTTTATCCAAGACCTATCCATCTTTCAATTCCTGATAATTATTAGATCCCAACAAAATATTTAACATACATGTTTAAATAACATATGCAAACACTTGGAAGAAATCAGGGGGAATACTTTAACCAAAGAATTATGTTTAGTTTAATGTTATTACTTTCATATCTTCTACACATTTTAATATTAACCAAAGAACTTTAGTTAACAAAACTGAAAAAATATGTTTAGTAACTTTGTTTTAGTCTATTTAGTTAAGGTATTGAGTACTCTGCTAGTTTAGATAACAAACTAAAAAGATTTGTATAAGAACTTTGTTTTGAACTCACCGATAAACTAATAATGCCTTGAATGAATAGTAGAATTCATTTTCATTTACAACTTTGTTGGACCAATAAAATTGTAGCAGGGATAGAGAAAGTACTCACAAGAAAATGTTAAAAACAGGTCCGCCTTTAGAACTTTGGAGGCCCTAGATGAAAAAAAATAAGATCCATAAATTATGTTAATGTCATTCTATAACAAAAAATAATATATATATATAGATATTTAGTTTGGTCTTCTATATTTTTTAGTGAGAATCACAAATCAAACAAAATAACTAATTTGTCATGATAGATAGATAAATATTTATATTGGATGGCACCATCTAATAAACGAAAGCTAAAACTACTTTATGTATTTGCTAAATTATTTGATTTATCAAAATAGAACACTGGAATAAGCAATATTAAGTTACTAACCCAATAATGTATATTCATTGATCTTTAATCATAAGCCCAAGTGCCTAATAGCAGTAACTTTTATCTTTTATAGTTTAATAGTTTTATTTAAGTGTAATATTTACATCAAGTAATCAAGCTGTATAGCAGGGAGGTCTTTGATGCATCCTCAAGTAATTTTTTCACACTATGGCATCATTTATCCAAGACTTATCCATTTGAATACTAATACCTAGTTTAGAGTACAAACAAAAACTCAAAATAGTATACATAAATGACAAAACATGAAAATTAGCTCATAAATATTTTAATTTGGAGTTCTACGTTTCAGTTTAATGATATAGGAAATAAATATATATAAATCCTCAAAAACTGAAGCACACATTTGAATAAACAAAGGAAATCAGTTTTTCCCCCTCCCAAGTCATACCAATATCTATAAATAAACAAAGCAAATCAGTTTGGGATATGTAAAACAATTATACATTAATCACATTTCCTTATTGAATTAGAGTTGCAATTTGATATAAATGAACTCAAAAATATATTCTAATAGAGTAATAGTGTAATGTTAAAACAACTTGAAACTAAAAACTAAAATATTCTGATGACATTTCATACATACAACTCACTGATGTTAGGCTTCTCAATTCTTTGAGGAGTTTTGTCAAACACATTGTATGCAAACAAGAATATTGAGTTGCTTCATATTTGTTTCACAAACTACTTAATATATATCGAGCATGAGTTTCATCACACACATTCATATGTAGAAATGCACTCAGATGTTTACTAAGTAACCAAAATCAGTTTCTATGATCATACTTTGGGATGTAAAACACAAATCAAATCTAAATATTATAGAAAATAAGAGATAATATTGATGAAAACTGAAAAAACAATGAAGTGGTGGACTAAGTACTTACTGGAGTTGTACGTGGGCGGCTAGAGAAGAGAACGAAAGAAGCGACGGAGTACAGGGACGGGGTGCTGCAACGGACTCAATCAATTGAACTGTTGAGGGGTGCCATGGACTAAATCGATCAAACTCGGGTGACGGAGTATGTGCTCTAGCTTTGGACGAAGAATCAGCCGGTTGAGAAGGATATTAGCGAGAGTATGGCAGCGATCGGAAGAAATTAACGATGGAAATCGATAGGAAGGTAGCTAGGGTTAGTTTGTGCGGCGGCTCTAGCTCTGGAAGAAGGCATACATGGATCGATGGAATTTTCCTTTTGTGGGATAAGATAGGTTAGCTAAGTGTGAAAAAAACAAGTGTTAAAATTAGCTAAGTTAAAAAATGTTAAAGCACACACCGGCCTACCCGGCCCATTAAGTGTCACTATTAGGCAATGATGTTTTTTTGTTAGAAATTAGTGACACTTCTATGTCATTGGTAGTATTCTGTCAGAAAAGTGTCACTACGAAAGTGTCACTGTAAGCCTGTTTTTTACTAGTGATAGCACCCTCTTGATGTCCTCAGAAGTGGACCACCACGTTTATGAAGTGCACTGTATACACGAAAATAAGACCTACTTAACTCCTTCCACACTTTATATATATGGTAAATTTCTATATGGAAAACTTAGTGAACTCAAATTGGAAGTGAGTAAGGGACACTTTACCTAATAGCAGATATACACATATCAGAATGTTTTGCAGCTTCTAATTTCATTTTGGAGTCGAATGACAGCCAACCATTTTAGTTCATAGGCCGAATGGCCCACATCTCTAACAACCTAACAACATCATGACCCCAAAACAAAAAGAAAGAATTATGGGAAACTCAACACTTCACTTACTTTTAAAATAAGCAAGACTATTTCACAAAAGTTTATTTTGTATATTTTTTATAGAAATATATTAATCCTTTGAAAGAACACAAAACTTTTTTTCATTCAAATTATTTATACCAAATTAACCCAAGAATTAGATGTGAGATGTAATAGCAAATTAATTTAAGAATTTGAAACTAAAATACCTAAAATATCAGATTCAAACCTAAATTAGTCTAACAATCAAAATAGTGATGTCAAATTAACAACATGATTCTGGAAAAATTGATTTTTTTTACCAATGAAACCTCAATGTATTAATACTTTGGTAGTTTATTTATTTTGACCATGAAAAGTTTATTGGGATTAGCTATTTTGCTCTTTTAGTAATGATTTTCCTTTAATTCTGTACTTTTTTTTATCTCTTTTTCGTTCTTGTACTTTTTTTTTCCTTTCACGCATTGTACTCTTTATTTATATCAATAAAATCTTCTTTAAAAAAAGAAAGAAATCCAAAACAAAGTCGTCAAAAGCAAAATTGGGATTAACTTTGGAAATCCCTAACTTTATGGTTAATATCCACCAAGAAGGTAACTGGCCATGAATACCAACGGGAAAAAGGTAAGTTGCAGAACATAAACAGAGGACGCAACTCGATCGAAGACTGGAGCAAGTTGTTCGAAGCCTGGAGAAAGGTTTTAGAAGATTTTTAAACAACGCTGAGTGCAGTGAAGGCTTGGTGTTTGATGAAGGTAGTCGCTTTCAACCCTTCTTTATACAAATGGTTTTAGATGTAGATTCAGATCTATTTTGGTTAATAGTTTATGAAGATATATATTGCATTGTTGTAATTTTATCTGAAAAACAATAAGTTTGGTTAATTGTTAATGGTTTATGAAGATATATATTGCATTGTTGTAATTTTATCTGAAATTCAATAAGTTTGGTTAATTGTTAATGGTTTATGAGGATATATATTGAGTCATTTTGTGTTTGTGTAAGTGGTTGTTCAAGTGAATGACTTCTGATTAAGTACAATTATCACATCAAAAAAAGTGCATGTGTTTAAGACAAAACATGCAAAATTGTGAAATGTAGATACATGATTGTGATTTAAAAAAAATGAACAAACCTATTTGGTTTAATTGCAGTCACATTAGAGTTGAAATAAGTTTCAATGCAACATGTGGAGTTGTAAGATGCATTTGTTGTGCTTAATGCACTTGAAATGTAAGAAGGTGTGATGCATTTCTATTAGAGTGACGATGCCGAGGTTTACTTTCTAAGATGCATAATTGCAATGAATTTGTCTTGTGTTTGTGTGTCATTTGTATGCATGCTTATGTGATACAAGATGCATTTAAAGTTAATTGAAAATGAAAGTGTGACAACACTGTGATGCACATAGTATTGGATCAATATAAACAGAAGTTAGGTGCAACATGTGGAGTTGTAAGATGCAATAGTTGTGGTTATTGTAGTTGGAATGCAAAACAATTTGAGGATGCATAAGTATTATGTTT